AGTCACCCACCGGCTCGTATGCATGTCGAACTCCTCGGCCCATGTTCCAACATTTCATGGGTGTACCAACTGCTCATGCCCGCTGCTCCCGGCAAGACAGCCTTGGTACCAACGCTGGCGCCTCATCCCAAGAACGGGACAGGCGACTAGAAAAAAAATAAAAATAAATAAAWAATAAATAAAAATAAAAATAAAAATAATAATCAATAAAAATTTAAAAAGTTAGAAAACGGGTTGGGGGATGGGAACCGCTGGGACATGGACCTCGGTCCTGGCCGTCGGGCCCGTCGTCAGGACTCCTCGCAAAACCAAAAGGGATAGTCCCGCGGGACCCTCAACCCCTCGGTTCTTTCCAAGTTGCGCTCCTCGCTGCTCCGCTGCTGCCTGCTGGCTTCGATCCCGGGATCTGCCTGGTGAGAGCTCAGTGTCATAACCTATAGGGCTAAACCCCCACCTGGTAGCATTGGGCGCAGTCCTACTCTTAAAGAGTAAGGGCAGCCTGTTCAGACCTGCAAAGTGGTACCCCAGGTCGTTTTTCCCACCTACGGCCTGCGTCCTGGGCTCCCCAAAGTCGTACTTGGCAATTTTGAAGGCACAGGTCCGTTGGCTTACCACACTCGCCAGCCCAACCACGGCAGGGCGGCGGGTCGAGCTTCTCATGACCTGCCACGACGCCTTTTTACCGCCTCTCCACCGAGAAAAACCCACTCATTGTTCTTCTCAGTGTCGCCCTTACTTGGACTCACTGGCGACTCCTACCTTTGACGGTGTAAGGTTAACCTGATGCCTGCGAACTCTACACGGCACGGCCCGAAACCACCGGTTTTCAATAAGTCGGGCGACGTTCCCTTTTATTCATAGTCCTACCAAGTCGTCTTCACGCCGTCCGAAATTCCGCCTGTGCATGCGAGGCCGCGACTGCCTCAGAAGTTTTAGCCTAGCACCTACTCGGTATACCACGCGTCGTGGTCTTCCTCGATCAGGGTTTGGTCAAGTTAGTCCGTGCCCACAAAGTGCACGCTCGCACACTCTTTAATCTAGACGCTGTCACCGCGCCTTTAGTCTGCGCGACCCCGTGATTCGCGCGGTCCTTCTTAATAGACTCTAAATCGACCCATACCTTTGTCAACCGCGAAAACACCGTGCGAGTACCCTTGTAAGGGTATCCGCACCGACAGCGTCTTCTTGGGGGCCTTGGGTGGCGCCGGTCGGGGATACAACGAGGGAGGCCGCAACAGCTTTTCCTCCGGGAAGTCCTCCAACCTCTCCGCGCGCTGCGCAATGTAATCCGGGATGACAACCGCGTTGTAAGTTCTCCGCGGGGCCGTCGCCGTCCGCAATCGTGGCTGGATCTCCTCTTCCTTGCTCGCGATCACTTGCGCAATGGAGAGGAGCTCAAGATGTATGAGCTCCAACAATCCCGGATCGATCGTCTGGAGCTGGGTGAATGGGTACAGCGCCACCGTCCCCTCCTTCTGCGCCGGCTTGGGCCGTGTGATGACGTAGTAGACGACGAAGTGCTCCCCGATGCAGTGGTCTTCGTGATCCATGAAGAATCGGAACATCCCCAACGCCACCGACTTGTACAGCGCACGGTGCAACTCCCACGCGTCTTCGTCTGCGAAGGGCAGCGGTTCCACGTCAGTTAGCTCCACCAGATACTCCGAGAACTCGCGCATAGGATAAGGGCCCTCTGTGAGTTGATAGGGGAGAGTGGTGTAAGAGAAGAATGGAGGCATTTAGTACGGGGCAGGGGGAAGAGCTTGGAAGTTGAGAGGGGCAGCGGGAGGAAGAAGTGTAGGGAGCTGCGGCACCAACGCGATCGGTTCATCCTCTGCCCTACGCAGCAGCGTTTCGTGGGCTATGAATTGGTGTCCCCCCCGTCCTTGCACTCTGGCCACCGATCTGGCCGCCTGCACCGCGTACTCATGCACAAAACTTCGCGCCAGCTCCCGACTCGGTGGTGGCAGGATCGTCAAGTCGCCGATAAAGGTGGCGACGCTATGTACGAAGTTGGGTGCCACCTGGAGCGTGCGGAACTCGATGAACACTCGAGTCGTCTCCTGCCCAGGCAACTGCGTCACGTCCACGTACACCCCCGCATACGTCAGCCGATCGCAAAGTAACAAGTACGCCGCCAGATCAGCAACCCCGGGCGTTGGCACGTTCACCTGCTGAATGTCGTACCGCAACTGCCTTTCCTCATTGAACTGATGCCGCAACAAGCGATCTGCAAGCGGCGTCTGAAAATGCTTGAGGGGCTCATGCTCCGGCTGGCGATGGTTCATCCTGCTCCCTGAAACTCTCAGCACCAATGGACGAGGCAGATCGAGAAGAGGAGGGAGACGAAGAAGGAGAGGATGATCTCGCAGGAGCGGGGGTCCATATGGGGCCTAGCGATGGCTGGAAGGGCCGGAGCGCGACAGCGTGCCGTGTCAGCGGTCGGGCCTGGGAGTTGTGACGGGGAATCAGCTTCACGGAGTGCTGTCCCTGTGCGCCAACTTCTGTTACCTCGTAAATGCCTGTGTAGCGCGGGTGGATCTTGGAGGAGCGCGCGGATTTCCGTACCTGCACCAAGTCCCCAATTTTATAGCGAGGACGTGGTCCCGCGAACGCATGTCAGTTCTCATAATCGCGGATCTGTCGTTGATGCGTCCGATCTACGGCCCGCTGTCGCCGGCGAGCTAACGGGGGATAGGCCCTAGCCATTAAGTCCATGTAGTGGCGGGCCTTATCTCTGTGTTGGGCCCGTGTTGCTCTAACTTCCGTACCTACCAAGGGGGACAATTGCACCCGAGGGACACTATTGGTTCTCAGTTGGAAGGGGGACACCGGGTATCTCCCGCAGTGATATTCCGTCTAAGAGCGGTCTTAATCAGTAGGTTGGCATTCTCTACCAGGCAATTGGCTTGAGGCCAATGCCCCGGCGAGTAAATAATCTTAACGTCCGCCCTGACTAGGTGACGTTCTACTTCGCCTTGAAATTCCGACCCATTGTCCATGTGTACCTCTTCTACGTCTAGATGCATGCACAAAAATCGGTTTACGTACTAGGCTACCTCCTGCGAATTCTGGCTGGTCATAGGGTACGCCTCGATCCATTTCGAAAAATGATCGACGGCCACTAAAAGAACATTGAGCTCTCCCTGATCGACGGGACCTCTTGGAACGTTGATATCCGTCGTGTCGATGCTAACCATTTGAAAGGGGCGCTCTACACAAGTAGGCACCATCATTCGAGGCATCTGTACCGGCGCCTTGTCCGCCGCGCAGGCCGGGCAATTCTGGACGATGTATTTCACATCTTCCCGAATTCCCGACCAGTACCATCCATTCTTTTCGATGGCTTTTTCCGTGTACTTGACTGCGAAATGGACCGCATCCTCTTCATGAGCAACTCGTGTCCAATCGAACCTAGTGAAAGGGTGCGGAACCGTCAACCAGCTAGTCCCTCCGCCATCATCGACTTTTCGTTTTTGTAATGTCGGTCCCTGCCAGCGATAGTCCTGCGCCCGCTCCGTGACTCTCCACCGCTCGGCTTTGGTAAGTTATGACAGCAAGTCGCCTGACAGCCTCCATAGCAACAGAAGGTCCATCCAGACTTCTGCGCAACGGGCACTTGGCGCGAATCCGTCGGCTGTCCGTGCGTCCAGATACCATTTCTCGGTAGGGACTTGGTCCATTCTGCAGTTGGGACAGACCCACGTCTTTTTACTTCGGTACCTAACGCATTGTCCGTGGGATTTGACCGCTTGACACTGACTACACTGCACCCACAAAAGAAAACTGGGCCCTCCCGGATGTGACCCTTCTTGGTCCGGGACCATAGGCAAGGTACATAAGAAACAGGGACTTAGATGTGTTTCAGGGGACGAGTAGGGACTAGACGAGAGAGCGAGGGAGTTGGATGAGGGCAAAGAGATAACGTTTGCCATCTCCGGCAAAACCTCCATTCCGGACTCAGGCGTCGTCCTTGCGCAGCACGTGTAGCCCCCCGTAGCACGGTTTCGTCGTCGCAGCTTCTGGCCTCCACGGAATGAGTCGCTCGTTGGCGGGACACTTGTTGGGCGGCAGGAGGCATGTCAATCCATCAGCGTTGCCATGCTGCCGTGTGGCACGGTGGCGGATGTCGAAGTCATAGTCCTGCAGACGCACTACCCACCTTCCCAGCGTCCCCGTGTAGTCTGTGTTGTTGCGTAGGGACAGCAGCGGCTGATGATCCGTTACCAGCATGAATTTCTGGTCGTAAAGATAAGGTCGGAAATGTTGAATCCCCCACACCACCGCCAGGCATTCGCCTTTGCACGCTTCGTAATTAGCCTGCGCCTGGCTCAGCGTCTTGGACGCATACTCAATGACGTGTTCCCTTCCGTCCGCCCAGTGCTGAGTCAGCACCGCCGATATCGCCTGCGGCTGCCAGTCGGTGTACAGTGCGAACGGTCTTGTCGGGTCGGGACGCACCAACATAGGAGCAGATGTCAGAGCCTCCTTCAACGCTTGAAACGCCGCTTCACAATCCAGCGTCCAAATCAGTTGCTCCTCTTTCTTCAGCAGGTTTGTTAGGGGCTTCGCTACACCAGCGAACCCCTTGATGAAGCGTCGGTAATAGGATGCCAACCCTAGAAAAGCCCGAACCTGGGTGAGTGTGACCGGCGCCGGGGCTTCTTGAACTGCTGCCACCTTCCTCGGATCCGGTTTTAGTCCATCGACCGTGACGATGTACCCCAAGAATGAGATCTCCGACAAGAAGAACTCGCTTTTCTCCAAGGCCACTTTGAACCCCGCATCTTTTAGTGCATGCAAAACCCACTCAATGTGTTCCACGTGGTACTCGTGTGTTTTTGAAAAGACCAAAATATCATCCATATACACAATCACGCAGAAATTGATCAGGGGTTGGGTTAATCGGGTTTTGTTAACGAACTCAGCGAAGGCCATATTCATGGCCCGATGAAACGTTGCAGGGGCGTTACAAATTCCCATGGGACACCGGACCTATTGCCACGTGGCCTCAAATAGGACAAAAACGGTTTTGGGTCGGTCTTCCGGTCGGACTGCGACATGGTGAAAACCGTGTCGGATACCGAACTTGGAAAACACTCGAGCGGACCCGATAGCATCTAATAAATCGTCGATTCGCGGCAAGGGATACACATCTTTGGTAGTGATAGCGTTCAATTTTCGATAGTCGATACATACCCTGACCGAACCATTTCGTTTTGGCACGAGGACCACGGAAAAAGACCACGGTCCCAGCGATGGTTCGACCCACCCCAACCGCTCGAATTCCCGTACCCTTTCCAACACCAACTGTCTTTCTCTAAGGGAATATCGGTACGATTGGCAATGTATCGGGGCGTGATCCCCGGTATCAATTGCGTGCTGTATCAAAGGGGTTAGCCCTATGTCGTGGTCCTGAATACTGACGGCCTCAGGATAGGCCCGTATAACCGCCAGGAGGAGGCGTCTGTAATCATCCGGAACACGGGCTGGTAACTGAACTTCTACGGTTCCCCCAGGAAGGGAGACCGTCGTCGTAACCGTGGGGACCGCCGCGCTGGCATCGGGCGAGGCCCCAAACAAAGAGTTGTCGGTTTTCGCCGAAAGGACAGTCGCAATAAGTTGACTGTCCGCCGGACTCATCGGCTCGCTTTCCATGTCACTGTCACTGTCCAGTTCGGGTTCGGCCGAGGGTTCTACCGAAAAGGCCTGCGTCAGTTCCCTCGGTCCCCACCGATATTCCCTTGTTCGAGGTTGAAACGACACCCCCTCTTTCAAGAGTATCGCTGCTTTTTGATTCGTGAGTAGGGGCCGTGGAGGTCGAAAAGATAAATCGCACAGCCCCCTAAGCTCGGTAAATCTTTCAGGTAGGGGGTCCGTCCTGAGATATAAGGACGCAGGGGGTTCCGAAAGGTCAGCTATTCGGGACACCCTCAGCAGGGGTTCCCCTTGCACCACGGAGGAGAACGCGTGCGACTAATTGGACTCGCTCCGAACTATTTCCAGGGTTTCTCGTCGCCAGGAATGGCGCCACCGATCCTGAACCCGGATCGGATATCGGTCGGGAACATCAGTCTCGTCAGTTCCCGACGAGGTTTCATTTTCGCCTGGCAACAGGCGTCGGATCATGTTGATTTGGTGGGCTTTCGTGGTGATTCGAGGCGCCAGCTGGGTACGCATACGCACCACCAATCTCACTGGTATCGTTTGTGGTTTGGGGTGGGCCGATGTGAGCACCACCTTACAGTTGTCAAAGTGCATTCACGCTCCGACCGCCGCCTGCCACGGAATGCCTAGCAGAACATCATACGCCTGTACATCCAGCGCGATTGCGTCGCACAAACAATGCACCCGCCCCACTTGTATAGGCACGTTCGCTATTCGCCCTTTACAATGAATACTGTCTTCCGTAGCGGATATATACAGTTCATCCGGTCGGAGGGACTGAACCTGTCCTTCCCTTCCCAATTGTTTCGTCAATCTCCAGAAAATGACGACCGCTGACGATCCCGAGTCTAGGATGGCGGCCGAGGGGTTTCCCCAGACCTCGCAGTCACACTCAACGCTTTTCCACGTTATATGATAGGCTCGGAGGAATACCTCGTTTTTTTCCGAAGCAGAATCTACTGTCAGGATCATTCCTATCCGGTTGGCTTCGTGCACCTTTGAGGTCGAGGGCTGCGACTCCTCGTTTGTGGGTAGGTCCCGTGGGACCGACTTTTTCCCCTTTCGACTTTCCTCGAATCGGCGCCTGTTTTTGAGGCATCGTTCGATCAATTTTTCGTTAGCCGCTTCGAAAATGGTTAGCAGATAGGGAATAGGGACGGGGATCCGTAGATCCAGGGCCTTCAAGGCATCTTATACGTTGATATGGCCATCCTTGTATTCAGGACCAGGTGCCGCAAGATCTTCGAACCCTGGTCGCCACGGCCCGAGGTCGCTTTCCTCGGTAATCCTTTGGACGTGACGTACCACTCCAATGGTCCCGGGTTCGAACATCGCCGCAGCCATGTACTCATCGGGCCCTATCTCGGTGGCCGCAAGGGTCACCATCTCCGTCGTTCCTGTGTCCATTACCGTGGCTACCCTCCCCTGTCCTGCAGCGGTTGGAGCAGCCAGCGGGATTTGGGAAGGTCCGGTGGGCCCAGCGGGCCCACCCTGAGTTCGAGGTTTCGGACAATCTTTCGCAAGGTGGCCTGGCTGATTATAGTTATAACAGCGTAGGGGCGAGACAGCCCCGGCCACGACCGGTCTTATCATAGGGGCCCCGGCGGCCATAGCCGCTTGTTGCCGTTGTGCGGCGGTTATGCGTTGCCGCTGCAGGCCCTGAACAAACTCCGTCAACAGGGCCACTACCGTAACTAATTGGGCCGCGACCTCTTTCATGGACACTTCTTCCTCGCCCCGGCCTCCTTGTGCTTGATTAGAGCAACGGGAGGTCGAAGCAAAGGAAGAAGCTTTCCGATCCGAGCCTTTTTTGCCGGACCCAACCCGAAGCGATCTTCGAACATTCGTGCCGTAGCGGAGTAGCTGTTGCATCGAACACCCGAAGGGTCGTCTTCGTCGGATTCTGAGTCCAGGCCCACGTCGTAATTTTCTTTCTCGTACTTAATTGTGTACTGCATTAGCTCCGTCAGGGTATGTTCTATAGGGTTGCATTTCTTGTGGATCTTTTTCCGCAGGCGAGAATCTGACAATCCTCTGACGAAATCAGTCTGTACCATTTTCTCGTCCACCCCGGAGCGTTCGGCTAGGTACATAAAGCGTTCAGCATATCTAGCCAAGGTCTCCCGAGGCTGCTGCGTATATTCCTTTATTAGACGGAGGCATTGACCTGGTGCGATGTGATCAAATCTGTCGAGAAATTTGCTCTCGAAGGCTAACCAATTAGTGAAAGGGTTCCGTCCATACCACTCAAAAGCGGTTCCGTCTAACCTTCCAGGAATTCGTTCTCGGAGCAACTGGTCCGACCAGCCCTGGGCTTTCAAGGCAGCTAGCCAGGTGCGAGGGTCGGTATCATCTTCGGAAAAAATGGGAACCTCGGACGGAGGAGGTACAAAATACAGGGGATGATTGGCCATCCCCGCATGGTTATCGTCGTCGTTTCCACCCCCAATTCGGGGTTCAACCATCGCAGGAGGTGGACCTCGAGCCCGGCCTCTCGCTCGGTTCTGATTGCTATTCGCGGGCCGCCGTCGGCGGGGAGCCAGCCTACTAAAAAATGCGAAAAATCTACTAAAAATATCAAAAAGGAAAAACTTTTAAACAGGGTAATTGTCCTAGGAAAACCTCGGAGCCGAAACAAATCAGCTCTAATACCAACCTCACGCCCCCTCGCGGCTTTCCGTATTGGGTCGCCGATCAGAGTTCTAGGAGGGGCGTGGCCGAGGATTTTTGGCCGTAGGGGTTGAGTCTCCCGGACGGAACGGGAGGCTTTCGTTTCGTGCCAGAGGTTACCCCGGAGTCGAACTGTCGTCGCGAAGTCCCGTGGGGGGCGGATCACTTCGGAGCGATAAAATCACAAGGGTTTCCGCAAAAACGAACTATCATCGTGCATCGGGACGGGAAAGGGCATCAAGGGGAGAGGGCCATGGCGGCGGAAGACAGAAACTCCGACCGTCATGGGTTTGAGGGATAAGTAGTGGGTTCGAAGCCTTCAGGCCTCGTCATCGGCCTCGTGAAGTGACCGGATCGTCGGGTTTTTCCTGTAGAAGTGGTTGGTTCGAGGCCTTCAAGCCTCGGCGTTGGACTCGCAAAGTCCACGCGGAAGTTTCCGAGAGGGTGAAGCGGCGGGAGGACTCGCCGGCATCCGAATTCGAAATTGCGCAGGCAGCGCCCCCGCATTACGGGAGAGCTCGGGGAAACGTGTCGCTCCCTCGTAACCCAGGACCAAGCGTCGCCAAGAACACAAGTCCCCCTGGCGACACCAGCGACAATCAAACTGCGGCCGCCACGCAGCGTGAGCGGCCGACCAGGGCAACACCGTCAAACCCGTATAAGGCAATATTAGAGTCGGGGAATCAAAGCGATCAATCAAGACAAACCCGTTCCCCCCTATATTACACGCCCGGGGCGGGTCTCGCCAACACACTTGCTCCATCCGTCTCAGCGCGCGCCGTACATCCGCATCGCAGTAGACGCTGCCGTCATCTGCAATGGGGAAGGTTGGAAGCGAGATGAGACGATCGGAGGTGAGCGATGAACACGGGCAAAATCCCGCGCTCCCGGTCATCCGAACCAACACCGACTCCATACAACACTCGACGCAACTCTTCTCTCTCAAGGTGGGTTCGTCTAAAGAAGATGACGAAATCTAAGCTCCCTTCCCCTTGTGGGGGCGTCGACCGCGCACGCAGATGCAGGCGGTTGACATCACCGGTGCAGGGACGAGAAGTTCCAAAAGCGATGACTATCAGTTCAAAAAGAAAGGCGATAGAGAGAGAGAGAGAGTGAGTTACACCGAGACTACGCGTGCGCGCAGGAAAGGCCGCGGAGGGGAGGGGAACAACAGGATCAACACACTCATACTCCTAAGCAGACGGTCCTCCAGTTCAGTTCCCCCGTCCCTGCCCGGATAAGTACATACACACAYACATGCATGCAATCAACAACCCTTGACAGGACATCCAATCATCCATAGACCTTCGACATCACTCATGCGCACAACCAGCTCCCATCACTCGGGGCTTCACACACACGTCATGCATAGACAAAGYWGCAATGGAGATAAAAGCGAGTCCTTCTTGTACACAAAAATTCTCAAGTAACTGYC